TCCGATCTGTGCTATTTAAAAGGCACAAGTGATCCAGAAAGGTGGTTAGTCTTCTCACCAGCAAACTGCCAACTCACTGAGTTAATCGGGATTGTGAAAACAAGAGCTGCTGGATCTCACAGCACTGACTGGTTGACAAAGTAGTGAAAGGACTTCTGTTGATGAGCAATTTCAGCAGCACAGGACAGCAATGTGTTCTGAATTATTATACTGAGAGATCCAAAAATGGCAGTAGTTTGTTCTTCTTAAGGCACCAGCCCAAAGGCTATCAGCAGTCCCAAAAAGAAAACAATATTAAATGTTCATAAGAAGAGAGACTGGAAAGCATTTTTATGACACCATATAACCTGCTTCTTGAATACTGCTGTACAACTTCAGTCTGTTATCTGCTGTCTCAAATGGAGACAGCTGAACTTAATGTATAGGAAAGGGACAAAGGCACAAGGTTGTCCTGTGCTCAATACCACTATGCAGACCAGGGCTCTGCAGCCCAAAAGCCATACAAGAAGGTGAGGCCTGTAAAGCTGAGTGCCACAGAGTGGATGAATGAGGATCAGTCATTCAGTTTCTCCAAATAAACCTGTCTCCAGCTGGTTTCAAAACATAGGCTCTGTTTGCACAGAGCAAATAAGGTATTTCTTCAGGCAACACACAATTAAGGTGCTGAATTCCTTTTCTACAACATAACTGACCTGGGAGCATTCAAAAGGCAACTGACATCCACAGAAGAAAAAAAAAAAAAAAAAAAAATCCACTGAGTGTTGTTAAACACAAACATACTGCCTCTGGCTCTGGAAGTTCCTGAATTACAAGTCACTGCAAATTAGGGGAATATGCAAGGAAGATATCCTCACTCTGGGTCACTGTCAGACATGGGACAAGATGAACCCTAGGTCAGACCCTGAACAGGTGTTCTTACATTTTTTTAATTTTCTCACTGGTGACAGGGAACATCCGTAATAAATTTGAGATCATTAGGTCACAAATACAGAGAGATGATTTTGTTACTAGTATTTGACAAAAGCATGCACTTAGCATGCAGATGAATGGCACTCCAGAGAAAGGGGAGCCTCACAAAGCTCAAGATACCTTTCAGCAAGTACCAGTTCAGTGATGCACTAGAGGGCACCTACGCTTCACTGAAGTACTCAGCACAGACTGCTTCTGCAGTCCGCAGGAGCAGAGAGGCACCACAGCGGTATCACTGACAAGACAAATCACAGACTGAGCTTGCCACCAACTCCAAAAGACTCTCAAACTTCTAGGAAGGCAGGAGAAGTTGCCCTCAAACAGGTATGTTTTTATATATCCCCGAATATTGGTTTGTCCTCAGTCAAAAATAAAATCCACCTTATTTTTCTCCATCTGCACAGTAAACCAAATGACTCACATAAGGAGCAGAAAAACAAATCCCACAACAAAAACCTCTTAAAGTCACTGTCAGAACAAAAAGGCTATCTTGCTATGGAAAAAGACCTATTAAGAGTTTAAGCAAGCACCGTGGTCTTACTCATTTATGTTGACATCAACACAAGAGGGTTTTTTTTAAATGCTAAATTTCTGCTACAGGCATTAATATGTCAAATCTTAGCTAGCAGGTATTATAATACAAGATTCATATGAACTGAGCCATTAACAACTGGATTAGGACAAAAGCTAACAGCTCCAACAGTCGTCAGTTCCAAGAAAGGTTCAGTATCTTGCTTTGTCTACCTCCCAGAAGCATCTAATTGCAAAAATGTCCTTTTTTACTTGATTTCACAAATGAAGAGAACCTATTACAGTTTGTGAGGTAAAGCATGATATTACCTTTCCTTTGACTGTATGCACATGAGCAAAACAGTTCTCACTATTTGAGCACTTCCAGCATGTGGAAGAATGTTCTTCTCCTTAACACTACCAGTACACTTGAGGGAACATTTCTGTAAACAGTTCATGGAAGACTTGCAAACGACAAACATTTTAGTAGTTACCTTAATCACATGGATCCAATACAAAGAATAAAAGCAAGTTATAAGGTATTCAGGGCTACATTCATCTTTCAACTTAGATATTTACCTCATCATCTCCCAGTGAATTAATTTGTTCTAATTTTCTGGTCCAGTATCTGGCCTCTTCTTCAGGGATATCTATAGCGAAAGAGTAAGTCACACCATCATATTAATCAGGCAAATTTGCACTTATCACCAGTAGCATTAAAACAGGGAGGGTATTCCAACATCACACCACAAAAAAACCACACACTTAATTTTTGAAGTAATAGGACTGTCTTATGTTACCAGTCAGTTGGAAAATAAACATCGTAAATAGTAATAGGGTTCAAAGGCTTACATTGTTTTCTTGTTTAAAGCTGATTAACCAAATGCACACTGCACAAAAGTAGGAAAGACTAAGACAGACTGTTTCAGATTTAACTCAAGTATTAGTTTTATGAAGAGCCATTTCACAATGATATTAATACACTCGCTATACGCTTAATAACACATGGCAAGATCAAGATCCTCTTCTAGAGGGTTTTATAACCTCAGAAGAACAAGGGCTCCTTTTGAATAGCACATCTCACTTAAGTACCTGGCGTGACACAGATTAAGTACCAAAAAATAAATAGTCTTCCCTTGCAGGCAATAAGCCAAATCTTTTGAGGTAATCAGCAGTGTTATAAGCAGTCATATTCACATGAAAGCACACTCCTATTTTTATAGCACACTGCAACTTCATTGTGAAATGAATCACAGCAACCCTTTTACCTTCTGGACGATTTACATGTTGATGACTGACAGCAAGTAGCAAGCATTATCACCTTTATTTTGTTACCTATTTTCTACTTCACACTTCAAAGTAATATAGTGTCCTAATGGTTTGAAGGGAACACAGGCTTCTACCACTCAAGCTGTCATGTCTCAAAGGGCACCCTTGGAGGTGCAGATGAACTGCTGTGGAAAGCTTAACACAAGGCAAGTTAGGTATAAACTGTGCTTAAGGAATAGAGCAAGAGGTATACAGCACCAAGAGACAAAGTCCTGAAAGAAAAAGCGTCAGTTGGGCTCCCAATCCAGGAGAATTCAGTAATTTATCATAGGGATGTGGGGGTGTGAAATCTTTGGAAAGAAAGAAAAAAGTTTGGGGTTTGTTTTGGTTGGTTTGGGTTTTTTGGGGTTTTTTTAGCCACTCAGCATCCCCCTGATTGTAGAGTGGTTGTCTGGTCTTGCCTCCAAGAAGGGGCAGTGACTTCTGAAATTGGTCTATTCATGGCCTGACACCTCACCAATCAAGAAACTTCAGAGCTTACACAGAAAGGAAGCGGAGGGACTGCTCCAGATAGAAACCATCAAACCTGCAAGCCTCACCATCCCAAACACTGACAAATGAGAATAATACCAGTCCAGCTAGTTTTCCCACCTCTTTTAACTCTTCACACTCTGATGTGCCTCATTAGGAGCCAAGATGTTTACACCTAACAAGTTTGTTTTCCTGCAATGAACTGTACTCCAGGATGGTCTCCTGATGAAAAGATGGTTCTAAAATTAGTTACATCCAATCTTGTGCCTGAGAGAAACAAGAACAAGATTTATTGGCTGGCGAGCATTCCATCGGGGCCTATAATACTTGCAGAAAGGACCAAGCATGGCTTTCTTCTTATACTTAAATGGGATACCTGTCCTACATGTGTCCTCTCTCAGCCATGCAAACCATCATCTTACGAAGCCAGTGACCTCAAAACATCTGGAGATAGCAGTGGCCAGTGTACTAGAACACAAAACGCTTTAGAATCATAGAATGATTTGGGTTGGAAGGGACCTTAAAGATCATCGAGTTCCAACCCCCCTGCCATGGGCAGGGACACCCTTCACTAGACCAGGTTGCTCAAAGCCTCATCCAGCCTGGTCTTGAACACCTCCAGGGATGGGGCATCCACAGCTTCCCTGGGCAACCTGTTCCAGTTTCTAACCACTCTCACAGTGAAAAAATTATTCCTAATATCTGATCTAAATCTACCCTCTTTCAGCTTATAACTGTTACCCCTTGTCCTATCTCTACCCTCCCTGATAAAGAGTGTTTCCGCATCTCTCCTGCAGGCTTCTTTAGGTACTAGAAGGCTGCTATTAGGTCTCCTTGGAGCCTTCTTTTCTCCAGACTGAATAACCCCAATTCTCTCAGCCTGTCCTCATAGGGGAGGTGCTCCAGCCCTCTGACCATCTTCATGGCCCTGCTCTGGACTCATTCCAACAGGTCCATGTCCTTCTTATGTTGGGGGCCCCACATCTGAACACAGTACTCCAGGTGGGGTCTCACGAGAGCAGAGTAGAGGGAGAGAATCACCTCCTTTGACCTGCTGCTGATGCTTCTTTTGATGCAGCCCAGGACACGGTTCACTTTCTAGGCTGCAAGCGCACACTGCCAGCTCATGTTCAGCTTCTCATCAACCAACACCCCCAAGTCCTTCTCCTCAGAGCTGCTCTCAAGCCATTCTCCACCCAGCCTGTATTTGTGCTTAGGATTGCCTCAACCCACGTGCAGGACCTTGCAGTTCTTTCAAGAAGAACAAGGAACATGCTAGATTTAGTGGAACTTGAAGTTTCAGAAGTAAGTATTTCCTTGGACTATGAATTAATGTCTACACTTTGCAACAGAAACATCACTGCCACTAGTCTTACCCAGACAAGGGGGATAAAACAGGCCCCATTTGCGCAAGTTCTAGGGAACTGGAAACTTAGTACCTGGCTCTAGAAAACCTGCATTAAGTAGAAAAAAGACAAGCTGTTTCTCCTTGCTTGAAAGGTGACCAGCTGTCCTGAGTTAAGCTGAGACAGAGTTCACTTTCTTCATAATAGCTAGCAAGAGGCTGTGTTTTGGATTTGTGCTCAGAAGAAAGCTGATAAAAAATTATGTTTATGTGGCTGCCAAGGTCTTTTAGTTTCTCTGTCTGTCCACAAACAGGAGAAACTGAGAGAGAGCACAGCCCCAGTTACTAGCCCAGGATTTGATCTTAGGTTCGGGATTGAGACCGAAAGTGGCCAATAATCTATTCCATAACATACACATCATGCCCAGTATATAGGCGAGGACCCTCCGGAAGATTGGCCCCTTTTGGTTCCGGATCTCTTTGGCTCCGGGTCATCTCGCTCCACGTGGTCGCTCTCCTAAGGCCTTCCCTCCTCCATCCCGGCCCCCTCCCCTCTGCCATCAGCTCTCGGTCTGGGACGCTCAGACTGTTATCTCTGTTCCGTGAGTACGGTTTCAGGACTCTCCCTGCTCCGGGATCATTAGCTGGGAACAGGCTGAGCCTTGGTCATTGGGTAGGGGGGCAGTATCACTGTGCATCACTCGTTTGTATACAGTATTACTTTCAATATTATTGTAGTTTAGTTATTAAATTGTTCTTATCTCAACCCACGAGTCCTTTTTTCCCTTTACCCCTTTAATTCTCTCCCCTGTCCTTGAGTGGGGGGGGATTGGGTAAGTGGGTGTGTGGCTTCGCCCCCAGCCAAGGACTAACCCATCACACCAGCAAAGTAAATCATTTTAACTATAATATACAGTCAGTTGCTCTTTCTGATGTACAGTACATTGCTTTGTTGTTATACACTATTAGAAAACAAGGTAAGAGAAATATAAGAGAATCTTCCATAACTGCAGGAGTTGCAGAAAAACATACATGCTTTTGATCATCAGGGTTGTGAATCACAGCTGCACAGATTTATTGGATGAGTTACACACAAATTAGGGGTGGCATTCAAAGGAAAATCTGCGCAGAATTTATCTAGAAAGAGGACATCAGTTAACTGAAGTGCTATCAGCATACAACCTGATGAGATTTAGGAGGACAAACTCCAACAAGGACATGAAGCAATCCAAACATTAAAGCAAAGAAAAGGAATTTTGTCTTCGAAAGCCACCACTTCTCTAAAAGAGGAAGAAGATCTCATGATCTGAGGACTAAAGGTCAGACTCAAAACAACTCAACTCCAGAACCTGAAATCAAGACCAAAGAGATCTAGGAAGGCTGAAGCAATAGATTACCATAACACTGCAGAAGTCGCAGTTGTCTCAGGGTAGCTAGTCTTCAATGCTTTCCCATAGACCATGGTTTAGCTGTAAGCCCAGACATCAACAAGCATTGTGGATTTGTCGTTCCTATCTTGTATCCAAGGTGCCTGTTTCATAAATGGAGCTATCAGATTTTTAGTGCAGGATTAATCTCTTCTACCGAAACAGCTTCTTATGCAAGTCAGAGATAAAAATCAGCTACTGTCTAGATAGTGACTGCTTTGAGGACATAATCTTGACCTTACCGAAACTCTTGTCATTAATACTAATGGCAGTACAGCTACTGCACAGCAAATCTTAAACATGAAGCACTCAGCCTATGAACTTGAGTCAAGCTGAGTGCCTCCTCAGAAGAGTAAAAGCCCAGCAAGACAGAATTCTCGATTGGTGAGGAAGAAGTTTATAACGATTTTTTAGTTTCACCATCCATTTGTGTCTCACCTCAGTCATCCGTTTTGTTGAAGCTCGTTCTTTGGAAGACAGAGAATGGAAATCCCTAAGCGCAGAGATCACCAACTGGGTGCTTGCAACACCATGTCCACTGGCCAGCTTCTACCTCACTGCTCAGCTTTGATTACACATCTAAGTTACTTCTCTTGTAAGCAAAAGTTAATGTAGTGAAGAAGCTGAATTAGTCCAAACAGAGGCCATCTGATGCCAGCTCAGGACTGCTGACATCATGCTTGGTAAACAAAAGGAGCAAGGCCGTATGTCAGTCAAAAAAAATTGCTGAACAAGAACAGAAAAGAGATGGACAGATCTGTTCACTAGCTTTTGGGACTCCTCAATCTGCTACCAATATGGAAAGGTTGCAAGCTTTACTGTCCTTGCTCCTATTTCCATCTTCAGCTGGAAGCCGAAACCCCATCTTCTCCGGGCTCCTGGTGTCACAGAGCACTGAGGTCTGGTTCCTCCCTAAGGGAGGGGAGGCAAGTGAGATCTCATGGCTGGCAGGGCTGGGGACTTGCCAGCCAGGGCCCCATCCTACAGTACCGGAGCAAGCTGAGCAGGGCAGGTCAAGAGATCATAGCCAGGTTCAACCAGGAGCCCAGATCACCTGGCAGGTCCACGGTGACAAGGCAGGTCTGAGGACAAGCATGGAAGTCAGTCCACATCTGGGCCCAGATCTATGGGGTCCATAAGCAGGCACAGACATGGCTGTGGCTGAGGTGGGGGATCAGTAACACCCACAGCATCACCCAGGAGTGAAGGCTCAGAGCTGAGATGAAGTGGGCCCATGAGCAGAGGGTGTGGGCGAAGGTCCCAGGGGAGGCTGCTCAGTGTCATTAAGACTCAGAAGAGCATTTGTGACCCTAACACCTAGATACACTGCATCACGAGAGAAACGGGGACACTGCAATACAGAGACTTGATCAGACTAAGGAATGAATTAGAAAAGAATTTGCTGCACATATATAGACCACTTCACTCAGCTAGGCGCCCTCAGGTACCTATACGACAGTATTCCCACTGAGATCTCCAGCGTGGCAATCACCTGAGTTTTTCCCAGGCAGAAAGTCCTGGGACAGAGCATACCACAGGCATGCAGGAGTGAGAGCTGATAACATCTCTCTCCCCCCTTTCCTACAATCCTTCACCTGGCTTCCTCTCTTCCCAGCCACAATTTCTTCCCTTACCACAGGTACAGGAATCTTCACAATTTCTCACTGAAACAACTTCGCAGAGCTGAGCATTTCATCCTGCAAAGTTCCGAAGACAATAAAACAACAAAGCACATTTACTCCACCTGATGACTGGATGCAGATCAGCATGCTCCCAGCCTGGAAGTGGTGAGAACACTAAAAGCATTTTCACACCAATTATCTACTAGAAACAGCCTGGCACAGACCCAAACTGCTAGAGTTTGTGAGCCAAAAGCATTTTTGAGTATTCCAGCCTGTGAGGGACTTGCACATAGCCACCACACTTCTAAGAAGGGGGGACAGGGTAAAATCACTTTTAAACAGCACAATTTTACACTTGAAAAGCAGCATCTTGGGAAGTCTGTGCCAGCACACATCCACTACATTGAGACAACAATACCAAGACCGTCTTCTCCCTACCTGCAAATTTTCTAAAGCAGTCAAGAAGAAAAGCTGTCTGCCTTCCTTAATATGTCCTTCTTGTTCCCAAGAAGAAACCGATATGATCAGTGGAGAAAGCTGCTCCAGCCTGTCTTCGCTGACAACCACTTCCTCCCATCAAGAAGACAGTTTATTGCCTTTTTTAAAAGACTACCAAGCATAAAAACGCTTTGTACCGTAGGGGTTAATATCAACTCTCGCTAACACATCACATTTCAAATGTTCACACTTTGCTGTACTTTTATAGAAGAGGATATTCAGTCATTCTACTTCTGCGAGATTGAACATTTAAGAACACAGGACTGGCATAGAATGTTAGATGACAGTGTGGTCCCCAGCACCACAGTCCATCACACATAGATGCTTACTGCAGAAGGGCCCAGAGATCTGCTCTCTCTCCTATGCAGCACAAGCTTATGTCACACTAACAACGCTACTGAACACAAAGCTAGAGCTGCATCTGGAACATGCAGTGGGACACATGGAGGATATATCAAGGCCACCACAGATGTTCATTTTCCCACTAGAAATTTGGGCACTAACAAAGTTGAATTCCTGGATGACCTCAGGAAAGGTTATTTTTATATCACCAGGAGCAGAGACTACAACTCTCACCATCCTCCATTAGGAAATGATTGCTTCCCAACTCCAACACTGGCAAACACTAAAAACTTCAAAAGAAAAAGGGGAAAAAAAAACCCACAAAAAACCTTTAAGGTGCCTTTATCATGTACTACCACTAGCAGCACAGGTACATTCTGCAATTACTTCAGCTTTAGCTGTTGCCAGTCTCCAGAGTACCCGGAGAAGACATATCAGGGAAGAAGAATCCTGAACATTATCAGGTGGAGGTAGAAGCAGCAAACTAATCCTGGATAAATATAGTACAAAAAACCAAACCAGTTTCTAAATCTCTTTGCATATACAATAATGTTTTACACCAAGGACTTCAGCTTTTCTGGTTTTCAAATTCATTTAGTCTCTCTTACAATGCTTTAAAAAATTCCCAAGCTCCACCTAAATACAGTGAAAAATTTTAAATACCCAGACCACGTAACCTCGGGTACTGCCTCTGTGTGCATCATCCAACCTAAAGAAACAGAGCAGACAGAAGTGACAGAACCAGCACAGAAGCACAGCCAAACAGCAGAACACGCTCTTTTGTTAAAGCTGCTATCCCAGACAGCTGTATTTTACCAGACTTGGAAAGCAGCACAAGCTGTGCATTTGCACACGTATCGCTCTGGTTCTCGCGTATCTACAATAGCCAGGAGATCATCACCGGGGAAACAAAATGTGATACACAATGTTCTGAAGTGTCACCGCAAACATGCCATTATTAAAATATCACCTCTACAGCAACAGAGCTGCTGACTTAAGAACTTCCACAGCAGATCAATGACCCATTATTTCTCTGTGTCAGTTTAAAGCATCAGTTCCCAGCTCATATGACAACACAGCCTTAAGGTGTGGGGCACCCGAGTCCATACTGCTACCTGCTGCTTAGAGGGAAATGGACCTGCAAATCCTCCATCAGCAGAGATGCAGAGGCAGTGCGAGCTGAGCTACATCCATGCATCCCTCCAAGTCTCACAGTATTGCAAGGGCAGAGACACAGAGCCTAACCCATCTTGCAGGGTCCTTCTCCTCTATCCTAGAGGTGATGGCAGGAGCTGCTCAGTCATGGTGTGAAGGGAAGCACCACTGTAGAAGGTGACACGGAAAGATGCTATCTTCTACTGAAATATCACACTCTTGGTGTCTACTGCTTTTCAACCTGCTTCTGGTCTTGCCACAGCAGACTGAAAATGGAGAAGATCCAAGCAGACTGCAGCAGTCTTCAAGTGAAGAACAGTAGAAACTTTGAAAGAGCTAAACAATGCATCCATTTTTTTATGGACATTATTAAACAATGGACAAGCAGACCACTTTTCACATTCTAAAATAAAAACCCTTCAATACAACAGTGTGAAGTTTCTGTTATGTCAGTATTTGGCATAGTAAGCAAAGGAACAAGTAATAATGTGCTTTAAATGATCAATCATGTTAAAAACAGAAGAGTCACAAAAAGCTCACTATTTACTTAATGTTTTCAGTTTTCTGCATGAAATTCTACTTCACAGAGTTCTATATTCTATAGGACATCATACTTTTTAAAACAGTAGTTAAAAAAAACCCAAAACAAGCAAACAAAAAGTCTTGTGTTTTGAGCATAGTAGTAGGGAGAAAAAACACTATTACCTGAAACACATTTTATTTGTTAAATACAGATACTCTAACACAATGATTTACATGGAGTCTGTTTTCCAGTACTTGGGGGAAAAAAATAATCATAAAATATAATGCAGTCCATAACATGAAATGCAGAAGAAAGAAAATTCTCTTTTGGATACTCTGAATACATAGGAAGAGATCAGAACTTCATGTTCTTTCAAATTAGAGACAGTTTACAAGCAACAATGTTGGAACGAACTCAGATGAGAAGGTACCACAAGCCTCGCCTTCAGCTAGGTGTGCTGCGTTCTCTCCCTCCCAGAAGCCTAAACACTTGCTGCAAAGAAACAATGTTTCACACAAGGAAATCAAGTGAGTTGTTCCTCTTCTTACTTAACAAGCACGTTTAGTAATAAACTTCCCACTGATAGGGTGACAGCAGCAGTGAATCACCAGGACATTTTCATGAGGAAGAGGGATGGCTCCAGACCAACGCTAGACAGCTTAGTTGTCAAGACAGCTGTCACGTACCTTTTCCACTTTAGACACTGGAGTACAGTTAAAGAGCAGTGCCTTCTACATCTACTGAACCCTGCACTCACCTGGAATTGCAACATCCAGCCAATTGTGCACTCAAAACTGCACACCGCGCTTAGCTCCCAAGATACAATTTATATCCATTTTAGTGCTGCAGGGCCAAAGCCTGCATCCTCCCTTGCACCAGGAAGAGCAGTATGAGACTAACAGATGATCTTTTTCCTACAGCAGTTGGCCAACCCTGACAGTTGCTGGCCAAATGCCAGCGGGTGCACAAATGCTCCACCAGTGGTTAGAGCATGATACAAATTGCTCACACTGCCAAGGGTTTGGCATCAAAAAACAAGGAACAGGCAGACGGGGAAGAGATGAGCCTTGCAATGACACACAACTTTGAATCACTTCAATGCCCACTACAGAAAAAAAAATACCACAATCCCCAAAAACATATTTTTTGTTCTTGGTCCCAAGAGTCAGTTAAGAGCTGGAAAGAGAAGCAATGTAGCCTTGGATGCATTATGGTTAACCCCATCCTTTGGGGGTTGGTTTGTTTGTTTAGAGTTGGGTTTTTTTTGTTTGAATTTAATTAAAATAAAATTTTAAAAAATATTTTACTGGAGATGGGTTTGCTCTAATTATCTACTTTTCCACATTCTGTAGTTTTCAACCACAAGTAATTGACAGAAAGGCAGTCGTTCTTATAACACCATGTTATTTATATGCTCTGCTAATGATAATGTTCAGGAGCACTGAGCATTAATGTTTCACTAACTGAACTGCATGCTTCTAACAGGGTTTAAGTGCACCTACCACAAAACAGCTCTAACACCACACTTGACCTCTTCTAGAGCTAAATTTATCTGGATACAAAGAAGTGAATGTTCCCTACTCAGGAACAAAATGTCTGACTGTACAATCCTGAAATAGTATTAATAGTTTCTTAAACTGCTACTAGTCTAAACATTCCAGTACTCTGAGACCATCAAATCCGTATTTATTCTGATCATGTTAGAAAGAAGCCAAACAAGAAAAGAACACCAGCTATTTAACTTGCACTGTAGTATTTCATCTGAACTGTGAACGAGCACAGCTCAATTGTAAAACTCAAGTTGCTCCCAAGCACATTCTCTCCACTGCCAGCACTCTGGGTAAGTTATTGAAATGTACTCACCGAAAGGTAATTCGAATCTTGTGTCCAGCAAAATTTTATGAGGAGTTGGGTTTTTGGTTCCACAGATTTCATCATGTTTCATTACAACTTCTGCCTCCAGTGTAGACCACTCCCCAGGACCTTCCTGTGAATCACAAGCCACAGGTGAAGTTTCAAGTCTGGCAGGTCCTTATGCAGCAACTCACACACATTTGCTAAGATCAAAGACTCCATGAAGAGCCTCATTGTATTATCTTTAAGATCAAACAACAGCCATTCAGCACGTGCTGCAGCTTTTCTTCAAAATCTCAAAGGCTTTTACCAAGACAAGTAGCAAACACCACCTAGCAGAACTACTGCCTTCTCAGTGGAATTGCAAAGGTGAGTCCTCAAAGGCAGGCACCAAGGAGTGCCTGGACAGCCAGAGGAACCAAGCATCAGCTAGACCTTATGGACACACTGCTGAGCATTCCCATTCTCTTCCTTTTATGGAAAATACAAGCTCTCTCTCCATACTCAAATTCAATAATCTTTTAAATGAATACACTGAAATTTGAGGTAAAAAAACCGAACGTCCTGCTTAGCTGCAAGAACCACCCAATTCAGCAGTTAGGGCAGTTACAGACATTAGCACATCCCATTCCCACCTTTTTCAGCTCATATCAGCACCACTAACCCTCTAACACTGCACTCAGAACCTTTAAGATGATGTTGGCTGATGTAGGATGATGTTTTAGGTTTACCTCAAAGGCTGGCTTGTCTGTTATCAGGGCACTCTCTGTCTTTAGCAGGAACTCAGAAATTTGAGCGTCAGACTAAGCAATCAGACCTTAAGACTTCAGACACTTGGCAAGTGTATGTGTTTCTTAACAGAATAATCCCTATTTTTTGAGTCCACATGAACGAAATTAAACCAAAGACCCCTACTTAAGCTCAGTGTTGGTCTCACTATTGGCAGCCTCCTTCAGAAAAAAAAAAAAACAAACCACACATGTGATGCCAACAGCCCTCTCCCCTCGCCCAGCTTTCCTGACCTTGCAAGTGGAAGTTACTCTGAGGAGCATGGTCCTGGGCTGCACCAGGCCTGATTTGTAACACATTAACTACCAACATTGGAGTTATCAAAATAAAGATTCTGTGTCATCTTAACCTCATCAGATTGGTGAATGGCCTTCAGAGCAATCCACACGGTCCCAACCAGGGTGTCCCAGATCAGTCCTTTGTTCCATACTTCAACAATTAGGCCCAGGTCCAGCCGATTGATCTCACTGCAAGAAAAGAAGATGCAACACAGGTGAGAAAAAAGCAGAACACAATCTAGTTCTGCTTTAGGTTCTGCATTACCACCATGATTACGACAATGAACTCTTTGCACACAGCTATGTCAAGATACAGAGAGCTTCTGGAAGCAGGCAGTCAAGGCAGCTCATACTCACAGGGAACGCAAGTTTCTAATGACTAATTTCTTACAGTTTAACACTAACTACACGAAGATTCCAAACTAAAACCCTGAACTGCCTCATGCATGGACTGCCAGTCAGGAACTTGTCTCTGCAGCTATGTACATAGGAGGAGGAAGTGTATCATGGGCCAAAAACCGAGGTGAGCTGTTCTTTGCCGTCAGGCACCCTATTTCTAACAACGTGGGTGTCTCCTTTCCCTTGACAGCACAACAACAGAATCATACTCTGGCAGGTCCAAACATGCCAATACTTATCTGCAAGTGGAGCTGCCACATGCCAAAAATAACAGTCCCAAACCCAGCATAGCTGCATCAGCAGCAATACCTACTGCTCAGGGCTGCATTACACCGCTCCTGCTCCAGCACTAGAGTCTTCCTCTGCATGACACTGAAAGGTTTTGAGCCAAGTGAATCTCTGTCAGCAAGCAACAATGCAGCCACAGGGTGCCAAGTTCTTAGAAATGCTTCTCTGAAGGTTTTCATTAACATCTTTGCTCCCAGTAAGGACGCATCTCAAATTCACTTCTTCCCAATGCTTCATCGCATTTATTCCTCCCTCTTCCATGCTGGTTTATAGCATGCCTTCTTAAGAACAATGTAACACATGCACAATCTGAATGCTGGTAAAAACCACGAAAGAGAAGAATCCTGAGCTGTCTGTTGATAGGCAACTGTGTCACACTTATCATGAAGAAGGCCTATTTCTCCTACTTCTTTGAGCTTGGGACTTTCCCCTGGTGCAACCACTAATCCCTAAAAGCAGGTGTCTTGTACACACAGTGCTGCTGTCCACTGTCCTGCTGTCCAAACATATGCACATTAAGTCTATCAAGGGAATTTAAAAGCATATTAGTCTCTGATTTCTATAGACTGCCATCATGGACAAAAAAAGAACTGCTGCAAATCCTAGCATCTATTTGAGCTCTGCCCCAGAGACTTCTTACACCATTAAAAGAGAATATTCTATCTACAAGGTTCAAGACAAACCCTACAGCTACAGCAAAACACAGTAACATCTATTTTAAACCCGAGTGCTTCTGCTCCTGTTTAAGGTCACAAGAACTGAGGTTCAGGCGTGTCCAGTACTTGGGTGACTCAGTCCACATACCTCAAACTCAAGCTATTACACAGGCTTACTATGAGTTTACTGCTAGCATCTTGAAATTGAGTCTCCAGCTCCCTCTGTTTGGATATGGCTAAACAATACAACCACCGTAACAAATAACCACCCGGTTTTGGATAGGGCTACCCAATACAGCCACGGTAACAACTAGCCACCCGCACTGTCACTGTTCTGCCCTCCCACTGCTTGTCTCTTGGAAGATGATAGTTACCTGATTGCACAAACTTGCAATAACAACAGAAACAACTGATTTTATGCTGGCTGGACTAGTGTAAGGCCGGTAAAGGAAAGGAAGGAAGAAGTACTATATTTTCAGGCACACTGTAAAACCACATTATTTGCATCAATATACTTCGACAGAGCAAGATGTTGATCATAAGATACCCAACAGGCTTCTGTACAGAACTCCACAGGACAGCTCACCAGATATGAATAAAAAAATAAAAAGATTTTCAGTACAGTGGCTTTGATTGCCTTTGTGTCTCCCTTTCTCCACCTTCTGGTTAGATGCAGAACAGCTTCAGAGAACAAAAGAGCCAAGACTGGAATTTGGTGTCCCTCCCTTTCCACATGCATGCACAATTTAAATAAAAGACATTTCTAACAACTTGAACACTGATTTAATCATCATGTTCTAAGCATCAGTTAACACTTTCATTCAAGAGGTGCTTGCTGCAAATATGGGGTCCTTTCAAAGCTGCTTCAAAATTAGCAGATGTCACCAAAGAAAACATTAAAGTGCTTTACTGGTCTGGTGAATAAGCAAGTCTCAAACATCCCCAGAGCCCCAAATTCTGAAGCGTTACATCTCACAAGGAGTTTGGAAGCAAAAACAACAAACACAGATAGAAAGCATTTTCTTGGTTGTAGTCTATTCTTCTACTATGCCTCATAAAGAAAAGATAAACACAGACAGTAAAAGCACCCTTCCCTTGAGGAAAAAACTGCTGTGTTCAAAAGTCTTTTCCAACTCCAGAAAGAAAAAGAGCAAACCAGTGAATAGTAGTATTGGCACATCAGTGTTATTTCTCCTGGGACAACTTAATGTATACAGAATCATGCAAAACACGTTCACTGCCACATGTAATATTTTTGTTATAAAAAAACATCCGAACCACTGTGCTGTTGCCCAGCTAAAGCAGGGACAATAATGGCAAGGTAGTTCAGCTAATATTCTGCTCTCATATCCCTCCCCTAGCAACTAATTACAGAGCAGCACAGTGACCTTACAGCAGGCTAGCTAAGCTCCCAGCTGATATCCGAGAGCAGTTCCAGGAGCTGCTTGGGGGGAAGGAGGAGGAGCAACTGTGAGAGCCATCATCCAACACAAACAAGTTCCATTTTTAAATCACTGGTGAGTAGCCTCCTCTGTAGCTGGCCATGTTTAAAGCTACTTCCTGTCCACAGGTCAAACACAAATCACAGGAAAAATGAGTTAGTATTTGGGTATGGACACGTGATTCGGCAGAGGAGTACAATTCCCTGCCCCCACCTTACCCCAGTCCTGCATGGTTTATGTTTGTGATAGTCACAGCCTCTGTCTGACCAGAAACTGCAGAGCTGAGAAGATGGTGGTGCTCAGGAGCTCGTGTTTCACCAGACAACAAAGGCTCCAGCCTCTTTGTGCACAGGCACACACCTTGTGTGCTGCTCCAAAAGCAGAGCGTCACAAAAGGGAGATGGGAGGACAGCTACGTACTGATCCAGGTGAACTGCTCAATCAGAGGCAAAAGCTTCTCACTTTTGGCAGAGGAGAATCCACTGCTGCTGCATTGAGAAACACACTCACAAAATCCCACATGGGTCTCTTGCTACAGATACTATGTAAACACCTCAGACCCACTCAAAAACAGCAGGATGAGCTTTGACTCCAAGATGAACGCAACATCATTCCCCCTGCAACAGCAGTGTACATGCCAAGTTCAGAGAAAAGCACTTGGAGTCCAGAATTTAGTAAATTTAGTTCACTTTGTCTTAAAAGGCTATAGAAACAGAAGCAGATGCAATATATCAACAAGCCATTCATCCATCAGGAAAAAACCCACCATTCTAAAAGATAATGGGAAATCCCTGGCTGCCAACTGCACCAGAAACCCTGGGAGAGCTGGAACTGGTTCTGCTGCTCATCACTGGGACTGGCAGCACCTCAAGCTGCAGCAGGGGAGCTAGAAAACATGCACCAGGCCAATGGCAGAAAACATCAACACATGAGAGCATCTCCCACACAGAGCTAACCAGGATCACTCTGTTGATGCCCTGAGTGCACTAACAACAGCCCTTACTTGCCCTGACCAGCCTCACCACTGGCCTCCACCCACAACCTCTTCCTGTGGTCCACGAGCTCAGCTATGGGCCTTCAGTCCTTGCCTAAGCTATGTTGTAGGCGTGCTTGTCTCCAGCTTAGCGGCAGCTGTGCCCATGCCTGGCCATGGATCACATAAATCCAGAACCAACCCACAGACTGACTTCCCAAATCAACTTCAGACTTGCCTCATCACTATGGACCTGACTGGCAACTGCTGAACTAAGTCTGACCCTGATTATCGTTACCAGACACAACCCTGAGCCTGAGCCTGAATTGCTAACTGGCACTCCCAGCATGACCTCCAACCTGCCTCATTACCACAAACTTGACTGATGACCTGAACTCTCACCAGATGCTGGCCTGATCCTTAGGCGTGCTTCACTTGCAGTGCTCAGGTACTGTGGGACTGGGCCACGACTGGCGAAGACCCTGCCTACCAACCATCAGGTTCCCTGTCCCTGTGGGAGCAGCCAGCCCTTGCTGCACCCTGACACACAGGTCTAAAGAACAGAAATCCAGGCAACTCGGCACTATTAAAGGACACAGGCTACTCCAGCCAGACTGTGGCACCAGCAGACAATCTTCCACAGTACATTGCCTTTAGCACAGATCAGTGTGTACAACAGAACAGCAAATTATTTAGGTTGTCACTAGGCTTGTGTATTTTACCTACTTAAATACTCCAATTTATACAACACAACAGCAGCTCCACATAAACATCAGTGCTGTGGAGGAACTCAACCACAAGCACCTCATCACTGCGCAGCACTGTACTTACAACATGAAGTCCTGTTCCCAGCAGGGCTGGTCTCCTCGCACAGCTACCGTTGTGCTCTTCACATTTTGCACTTTCAGGGTCACATACGTATTGAACTTATCTGGGGAATGAGAGGCAAAAAGTCATTTTCTTCGATTTATCTTTTCATTACATAAGCAAACATTTCAAAGTTTTCAGTCCATACACTGCAACCCAGGGGGACCCAAAGCCCATATAGGAAGACATCACTGGGTTAAGGAGCCAAATATTCAATATGTTTTTCACCTGCCATCAAATTTTCAATTACAGGTTTTCAGAAATTCACACACAAACAAAAACAGAGAACTAAGCACTTGCAGTAAGCTAGGGACAAAGAGTGTAAAAGCCTAAAGAACACAGACGCTTTTTGTGCAAGCTACTGCTTAATGAAATGCAGTGAGAGGAAGAAAGAGACAGTCCGAAGGATAGGGCCCATCATACAGACCATATAGAGCTAAAAATAAGCTTGGAAAACATGCAAGCAAGCAGCAGTTGGGCTGATCATAACATCTCTTCCCTTCCGATCCAATTGCTTGCTCTCCTAGTTCCAAGATAGTTTTCCACCCATGAGTCCACAAAGAACTTTACAGTCAGGGGTAGTAGGAAAATACAATCAATTATGCTGAATGTGCTAAAACTGACCTGTATTGCTTAAACTAGCTGACCTAGAAGAACCACATTACACTCATATTTTGACAAGATAGGCTTTGTTCAGATGTTTTGCCTTTTTTTTTAATCTGAGGAAAAAACCTGGAGCAACTTTTTTTCCTAGTTGCACCTACGTCTTTGCTAATAAAGCCAAAAGCATCCAAGCACAGACACAGATGAAGTCTGAATATCACTATCCGAGAATGAACAAACCTCCTCTTAAAGGGAGTTACCACCTCAGACCTGTCTACCAATTTCCTTAAGCCTGGAGTAAGACATATGTTAAGTAGCTAGAAAGCAGTGTACAAATTTTAATAATTCCATGTCCTCCTGCATCTATTCCCACAATAAGTTACATCACAGCCCATTTTAACACTGTCAAAATTCATATACATCATTGCTGCGGGCTACTACAGCATGTCCCAGCATTTAGCTTCAAATATCCTAACAGAAAGGGAGGAAATGGAAACTTCATTATCCAGAAGATCAGGAAGAAGTGGGAGTCATTGAAAGTCAGATTCACTCATATCTAGCTAGCTACACCACTTGCATCCTCCAGGAACACTAGGCTTGTCAGTGAAATCATACAGTTCAGTTGAGTTAAAACTAGATTGCAGGACAAATATTTTTCAGCCATGAGCAGGCTTATTATTATTATAGAATCATAAAGGCTGGAAAAGACCTCAAGGATCATCAAGTCCCACTGTCAACCCACACCACCTAACTCACTAAACCATGTCCCTAAGCACCACATCTACACGTTTCTTCAACACTTCCAGGGATGGTGACTCCACCACTTCCCTGGGCAGCCTGTT